TGCTCCTTGATTCCACTCACTGATTTACAGCACCTATGATATCACAAAGTCTGGGGCTTTGTAAAACACCACTGACCACTGATGCCGGGGCATTTTCCACTTCCACTAGCTAGTCAGGCCTAAGGTTTAATGGACAGTGAACTGGTCTTTTTTAGAGAATTCAATAACCCCTACGGTAAATGTTATTTCTTCTTGTAAATATTTTATATTTATATGTTTGTTTCCACATTTGATTATATACAGTATGCGTTATGTATTATTCCCTGCTTCCCACATTTTAGGATCTAATTAACAGGGCCTTTGTAACTCTTGTCTCCTGCTATGTGCTTTATTGTTAACATACAGTATATACTATATATATTCACTGCATATGAAATTGTGATGTGTTATAATATCAGGACCCAATATAAATAATAATATTAATAATATATAAACATCTTGTCTTCTATGAGAGATCCTAATTTCCTATTTTTTTTATTGTTGGGCTTTCTTCTTCCCATGAACTCTTTGAAGCAGACTTTCATTTTCAGGTCAGTCATGATCAAAGCCATTGTGAAATCAAAGATGTGTAGAAACCCTAGTGGAATGGACTTAATAACAGTTAGCTGCTTCAACAGAAAGGAAAAGGATTAACTGGCTGGCACTTCCTCAAGGACTCCTAAAAATTATTCAGGAGTAAGGCTTCAGCATAAGTCTGGCAGCCCCACGATTAAGTAGTTTATACTTTGTGTTTCAATTCTATAGAACAACAGCCATAATAAACAAGTTCTTGTGGGATGTACAGACACTATTAAATAAAGTGCGACCCCAGCCAAAAATAACAAGATAAAAATGAAAAACCTATTAAAAGACTAAATAAAAAAAATCTGCTTGTGCTGCAATGTTCAGCTTTAGTTCAAAGATATTTCCTGCAGTCATTTTTTTTCTGTCACTAGATGTCCTCAGTCTGATGGCAGGTATCATTCCATCCACATGCTCTGATCCAAGGTCCATCCCAACCGGCTATTGGGCAGTAAAAAGAGAAGCAGTACAGTGATTAGCTCATCTCACTGTCACTCTGCTCCCTGCTTCTATGAGTATATTTCTTGTCATTACATGATTGGCTCCACGATTGACTCCATGTGCTCATTTTTCCTCTCACACTCTAGTCCTGCTATACAGGAACTGTAAGAGACTGATACCAGTACATACACAGCTTGTTCTTAAAAATAAATTTCATAATGTATTTATTTATTACAGGTACTTACACATTGCTTTACATACATATATTGTACATTCACATCATTCCCTAACCCACAAGGGGCATACAATCTAAGGTCCCTTACTCACAGTCATACATTGGCCAATGTAGATAGGAGCCAATTAAACTACCAGCATGTCTTTGGAGTGTGGGAGGAAACTGGGGTACCCAGAAGAAACCCACGCAGGCACAGGGAGAACATGCAAACTCTAGCCAGGTGGTGCTGTGGTTGGGATTTGAACCAACAACCCTAGTACTGCCAGGTGGAAGTGCTAACCATTCAGCCACTGTGCTGTCCTGTAATGTATTGATGATTACAAAGCTGTAATTATGTATGGCTTTTATAATCAGCTTTAAATAAAATCCAAACTATTCAACTTACAGAACATCATTTTTCTGCACTTTAAAGCTGAACTCCAAGCAAACAGCTAAATACATAGTTGAACTCCTCTCACACAGTCCAGCCATGTCATGCAGTGAGATCTTATTGCACTATATATTGAGCAATACTGCCTGGTCTAGGGCTTGCACCAGCCTGTGATTGGACAATGCTGACCTTCCTTCTCCAGTCCTGATGTAAAGGAGGATGCAGGAGGCTGTTAATAAGACAGAATCAGGGGTGGACTGACCATTTGGAAACTCGCGCACTGCCCGAGGGCCCGGGGTCAGTAGGGAGCCCCATTAGATGCCCCTGGTACCTTTTTAATAGGCTTTTTTGAGTTTGGGCAAGGACACAGGAGCCCAATGATCCCCCTATTGCCCAGGGGCCCCATGAGTTGTCAGTCCACCCCTGGACAGGATTCCTAATACATTAATATATGGATTAAAATATATATATTTTTTACATCTACCCTTAATTAAGATTTAAGATACTTTTTAGAATCTGACCAACTGTTCTCTGTGAAGTGCTCAAAATGTAATTGGCAGCAAAATAAATAAATACTTATAGTAAGATGGGCAATTGTTTGTTGCAGCCTTTCATGATGTGAATTTATTTTTCTTCTTGCTCAAATAACACTCTAGCAGGCTAGTCGGCTGTGTTGAAAGACAACTGGTTTCCAGGCGTTTAGCCAGTCAGTAGTCAAGAGGAGCCCACTGCCTCCTTTGAAAGGCCCCTTTATAAAAGATTCCACTTTTGGCAGGGAATTCCACATCAATCAGATACTGTCCTTTCTTTTACATCACTATCTGACACTGGTTGACTGCCAGGGAAACAGATCATTTGCTGTAACTGTATGAGACCTGTTCTGTATATCTGTATGTGTCAGATGTGCTGCATCTTTTTATATCTTTATCTAAAGCAGGCCAGAAGCATTGTTTTCAAAAGTGTTGCAGATCTCCTTGGCAGTAAAGAGTGACTACAATTTGTCATCTAATGAAAGAGAGAGCGTGGCTCTTTTACAGTAATAAGTGAAGCACTAGTGGGAATAAACTACACTACAATCATCTCAGATCTATAATTTAGCCTGTGTACTGTTTCAGAGACCTACAGAGAAACGTAACAGACTTAAAACACTTTTGTTGTGCTTGGAAATAATGGTCCTAAAAACCTATACAGATAATTATAAAAAACAGCAGAAAAGTGAATCAACAGTGTATGTTATAAATACAATGAACAATCCATAGAAGAAAATATATTATCTGTTTTTGTGTGTTTTGAGAAATTCTGTCTTTAGACCCCTTTAAAACTGTATTAAGAAGAAAAATAGACAATGGTCTAAAGCAGGGGGTCTAAACAAAGGGTCAGTTTACTGTCCTCCAGGACCGGGCTGTGGCCATTTGGAGTAGAAAATGTCTTGGTGTCAGTGGGAGTAAACAATGGAATTGCTGGAATCAGTGAGAGGAACAGTGCCCCATGAGTGGCAGGAATGGTGCCTCATCACTGGTGTCAGTAGGAAGAATAGTGCTCCATAATTGGTGTCAGTGTGAGGAATAGTGCCCCATCACTGGTGTCAGTGGGAGGAATAGTGCCCCATCATTGGTGTCAGCGGGAAGAATAGTGCCCCATTGTTGGCGTCTGTGGGAAGAATAGTGCCCATCATTGGTGTCAGTGGAAGATAGTGCCCCATTGTTGTTGTCAGTGAGAGGAATAGCACCCCAAGGGCTGGTTAAAGGCAATCAAAGGACCGCATCTGACCCCTGGGCCACAGTTCGGAGACCAATGGTCTAAGGATACTAAGTGGTCACAATGATTCCTTTGTTTCTTGCTTTCAGCTAAATTGCTTCTGAAAACAGGTGAGAGTTCTGACCAAACAACCATCTTCATGGAGAAACTGCCAAAGCCCATCTCACCATGGCTTTAAAATTATTGAACTCTATAGCTATTAATGCTCTAAGGACAAAACTATGTATGCATGCAATATCTGACTGCACTAATAAGCAATCAAAATCTCCCATAATCAATTATGGACTTTCATGCATTGTTACTTCATGGCAATGCCCACTATCAGACCTGATTCAATAGAAATGTTTGTAACACTGTGAGATTTGTAGAAAAATCGCATGAGTAGTCATACCTTTATATATATTTTCAGTGAAAGAGGTTGGCATTTGTTTTATGGCATGCAATAAAAGTTTGTTGATGGGCGAAAAACTATTTAAATTAAACTCAGAGGCCAGGTTTAAGCAGATATGGATAATTCTCAAGCACTTGTTTTTCACTGCAGGCAAAATGCTTGGACACTGTTTTCAAAAGGACCTATTTCCATTACTATGATGTTTTGTTTTGAATCCTGAAAGCTGTATTCTGGGTGCAATGACCTGCAGTTTCCTATTCAAGTCAGCTAAATGAAGACATTCAAAGCACATCACAATGCATTGAAAAAAACATACAATGCATGTTAAGGAACAATTACATGGCTCCAATTGCAGTCTATAATGTTAGATTCACTTAGGCTCTTCACAATTATGTGATTTTGAGATGTTTGGCCATGGCACAGCCCTCTGCTGGTTGCTATCCTAGCATCTATATAGACTGGTACCCAGCATGAATAAATATATTATTGTGAGACTTACAGTATGTGGAGCTAATTAGGAGGACTGTGATTGGGTCTACATGATAGTGTTATCAAGGTTGCTTAAGTTGTATATTACTGAAGAGAATAATATCCACTTGCCGACCAGTCACGTACCTGGTACGTCACTGGACTTCAAGCGGCAGTCGTCTCTCTTGTCATAACAATTAGAGTGGCTAACTAGCTGCTCAATTCATATTACAAGCAGTGGGAGAGTCCCACTGGGAGTCCTGATTGATCAGCTGGTGCTACCACTGGCTGGTCACAGAGCCGAACAAAAACCACATCGGCTTTTTTTTGGTTCTGTTACATAATAACCCAGAAGCGATGACCCAACATCACTTCTGGCTTACTCGGAAATACACTGTGTCATTTTTGAAAAAGAAAAGCATTCAATCACACCAATCTTGGTGTGATTAAATACTTTTAAGAGCAAAGGAGAGATTTAGAGTCTTATTGACCCTAGATCCCTCCATAATGATTACCTGTTACATGCCTATTGCTGTCACATGGGATGTTTACTGGTAGATCATGATCTACTGGTTGCTGACCCCCAAAGTAGTTCATCCATAAAAGGGAAGAAAAAAATATACACTATATTACCAAAAGTATTGGGACACCCCTCCAAATCATTGGATTGAAGTGTTCCAATCACCTCCACGCCCACAGGTGTATACAATCAAGCACCTAGGCATGCAGACTGCTTCTACAAACATTTGTGAAAGAATGGGTTGCTCTCAGGAGCTCAGCTCATCCGTAAAATTTCCTTGCTACCAAATATTCCACGGTCAACTGTTAGTGTTATTATAATAAAGTGGAAGCAACTGGGAACAACAGCAACTCAGCCACAAAGTGGTAGGCCACGTAAAATGACAGAGCGGGGTAAGCGCAGTGTGCAGAAGTCTCCAAATGTCTGCAGAGTCAATAGCTAAAGACCTCCAAACTTCATGTGGCCTTCAGATTAGCACAACAACATGGAATTGGTTTCCATGGCCGAGCAGCTGCATCCAAGCCTTACATCACCAAGTGCAATGCAAAGCGATTGATGCAGCACCTCTGGACTCTAGAGCAGTGGAGATGAGTTCCCAGGAGTGGCGAATCACGCTTCTCTGTCTGGCAATCCAATGGATGTGCCTAGGTTTGGCAGTTGCCACGAGAACGGTACTTGCCTGACTGCATTGTGCCAAGTGAAAGGTTTGGTGGAGGGTGATGTTGTTTTTTTTTTTAGTGGTTGAACTTGGCCCCTTAGTTCCAGTGAAGGGAACTCTTAAGGCATCAGCATACCAAGACATTTTGGATGATTTCATGCTTCCAACTTTGTGGGAACAGTTTGGGGATGGCCCTTCCTGTTCCAACATGACTGAGCATTAGTGCACAAAGCAATGTCCATAAAGACATGGATGAGCGAGTTTGGGGTGGAGGAACTTGACTGGCTTGCACGGAGTCCTGACCTCAAAATGATAGAACACCTTTGGAATGAATTAGAGCAAAGACTGCAAGCCAGGCCTTCTCGTCCAACATAAGTTCCTGACCTCACAAATGCACTTCTGAAAGAATGGTCAAACATTTCCATAGATACACTCCTAAACTTTGTGGACAGTATTCCCAGAAGAGTTAAAGCTGTTATAGCTGCAAAAGGTGGGCCAACTCAATACTGAACCCTACGGACTAAGACTGGGATGCCATTAAAGTTCATCTGCATGTAAAGGCAGGTGTCCCAATACTTTTGGTAAAATAGTGTATATATATATATATATATATATATATATATATAATCCTATACCCAAAGTTGATCCAGAGGAAGCAATTGGATATTGGATATGAGAGGCAATTGGATATTTCCTTGATCAACTTTACATATAAATGTTAGTATCCAGTTAAATTTTTTGTGTACAGTATCTAGGAAATAATCCAGGCCTGTTTTAAAGCAAGCTACTGAGCTGGCCAGAACCAACACTTGAGGGAGTCTATTCCATATTTTCATAGCTCTTACTGTGAAGGAACCTTTCCATATTTGGAGAATCTCGTTTTCCTCCAGACATAAAGAGTGCCCATTTGTCCTCTGTGATGACCTTAAGGTGAATAACTCTACACCGAGTTCAATATATGGACCATTTATGTATTTATACATGGAGATCATATTCCTCCTTAATCTCCTCTTCTGAAGAGAGAATAAATTCAGTTGCTCTAATCTTTCCTCACAACTGAGCTTCTCCATGCCTCTTATCAGTTTGGTTGTCCTTCTCTGCACTTTCTCCAGTTCCCTGGAGCTGAAGGGGGAGGTGTTACTTTCTATGGCAGCGCTGATCGTAAGACAGTGGGAGAAAGCACAAAGCACGAGCCCACTAGGTGAAATCCCTTGATGACTCTGTGTAGCGGTGCCATGCAAAGTGCAGGGAGGGGGGTGCAGAGGGAGGCAGAGAGAGACAGAGCACTGTGTGTGTAGGGCAGCAGTAAACACAGTCTGGAGGTTGAGCAGAGAGAAAGAGCACATGGCTAAAACAGGAGGTGACATCCAGTGTTTGGCAGCAGTGATGCAGACTGCAGAGAGGGGGAGCGCACAGTTGGAAGAGACTGAATGTAGCAGGAGGTGAGATCATATTAGCTTTATGTTGGACGAGAAGGCCTGGCTTGCATATTAGCTTTATGTTATGCCATAACTGTACATAAAGCTATTATGATCTCGCCTCCTCCTACATTCAGTCTCACCCAGCCATGTGCCCCTGCAGTCTTCATTCAGCACTGTCATACACTGGATGTCACCCCTTGCTACATTAATTCATGTGCTCCCACTCTCTGCTTCCCCCCTCCACAGTCTGCATTTCCAAGTGCCATACACAAGATGTCACCTCCTAATCAAGCCACCTGTTCTCACTCTCTGACCTCCACTTGATGCCACCCTTTTGAGTACACAGGAACCACAACTACAGAGGAGGCATCAGGTATCAATGCGAACTGTCAGTGCGTATTAAAAACAACATTGGGTGGATATACATCTGCCGCGATAGAGGCAGAGCTGGCTCTCTGTGTCCCTCCTTCCCCCCTTCTCCGATCAGCAGTGCGGAGACCAATAACACACAGAGCGCACCGTGTGTGGTTTCTTCTCCCTCACTTTTTTCTGTCAACAGAGGGGGAGATTAGCAATGCAGCAGCAGGACCGAGCAGCTTGCACAGGGGAGCACTGAGTTGTAGGCAATCAGTAAGCAGTAATAATATGCAGTAACCTATAGCAACCAATGGTGTGAGGAGTAATGATGTGCAGTAACTTCTAGCAAACAATGGGTGAGCGGTAATGATGTGCAGTAACCTCTCGCAACCAATGGGTGAGCGGTAATGATGTGCAGTAACCTCTAGCAACCAATGGGTGAACAGTAATGATGTGCAGTAACCTCTAGCAACCAATCAGTGAGCAGTAATGATGTGCAGTAACTTCTAACAACCAATCAGTGAGCAGTAATGATGTGCCATAACCTCTAGCAACCAACTTGTGAGTGGTAATGATGTGCAGTAAAATACATAAAGGGGTTCGTAAGGTTCATGAGGACAGTATTTTTAACAGGAAACCAAAATCAAGAACACAGGTACATGACCTTAAACTAACTGAAGGAAAGTTCAAAACTAATCTCAGAAAGTATTATTTTACTGAAAGAGTGCTTGATGCTTGGAATAAACTTTTTAGCAGAGGTAGTGGGCCAGTCAACAGTAAATAGCTTCAAACATGCTTGGGACAAACTCAGACAAAAAAAGCTAATGAAAAAAAAAATGGGCGGACTCATTGTGTGATTTTTTAACTAGTATAGGTACAGTCTTGGAATTTCCTGTCTACAGTGTTTTTAAACAATCTGGGACAAACTTGTAAGAAAAAAAACCCTGCCGTTATGTGCTAACATTTCTGTATTTCAAATCCCTGAGAACCATACTACAGTTTTAACTTTTGGCTCTACTGTGTGGCGGGCAGAAGAGGTCGATAAAAACCTTACAAATGAGTAGTTGTATTATATGAGCTATTTAAATATGTGTGTAAAAATAGAGAAAATTAAAAATGTTTACTTGAAATGGTTTCAAATGTAAAGTCTATTTCAACATTCTGAACATATCCATTATTAAAGTGGAAGTCAAACCCTAACTAAGCTTGCACCTACTCCAACCTCCATTCTATCTACCCTGTAAAAGGAAAGATGTCTATACTTACTGTACCTATTCTGAAGTCACTGAGGTCCGGTCACATGATCTCTCCAGCGACAGCTTCTGTGTAGAGGACAGATCGCCGACAATGGCTTACTATGAGGCATGTGTTGTCCTCTGTCCCTCCTCTACACTGAAGCCATCACTGACATCCGATCATGTGACTGGACCAGAGTGGCTTCAGAATAGGTAAGTGCAGGCATCTTTTTTTTTTTAGGGTAAATAGTCTTAAAATGGGGGTGGGTGCAAGTTTGAGTTTAGTTAGCATTTGAATTGTTATCCATTTTAAGTGCCGCAATGATCACATGATTATAAGCCAGTCTTGCCAGCTATAGATCTGTAGCCCAGACTAAGAGCTGTCTGCGACGACTCAGGATTTGTGCTGAGAGCACACAGACTGACAGTTGTTTTGTGTTTCTTCCATTTGCGAATGATTGCACCAACTGTTGTCACCTTCTCACCAAGCTGCTTGGCGATAGTTTGGTAGCCCAGTCCAGCCTTGTGTAGGTCTACAATCTTGTCCCTGACATTCTTGGACAGCTCTTTGGTCTTTGCCATGTTGGAGAGTTTGGAATCTGATTGTTTGATTGCTCCTGTGGACAGGTGTCTTTTATACACGTAAAAAAATTAGATTAGCAGCACTCCCTTTAAGAGACTGCTTCTAATCGCAGCTTGTTACCTGTATGAAAAACACCTGGTAGCCAGAAATCTTGCTGAATGATAGGGGATCAAACACTTATTTCCCTCATGAACATGCAAATCAGTGCATAATTTGTTAGTCATGCATTTCTTTTGAATTTTTTATTGCTATCCTGTCTCTGAGTGTTACAATACACCTACCCATTCGATTTTTAGACTGATCATTTCTTTGTGAGTGGGCAAACATTCAAAATCACCAGGGGATCAAATACTTATTTCCTTCACTGTATGTGTTGGACAGTTGGAAAGGCATTAAAAGAGGTGTAATTGTAATGAGTTTTGAACAGCGGAAACCTATTTGCTTGTAACAGTGGGCTGTACTTGGCTACAAAGAAAGGAACCCTCCTGTCTTTTCACACTTTTCAGGGCAGGGTAAAGAAAGCCCACCTCAGTTAAAGCAACATTATACCATCTGATCTTGATGTACAAGATACAATGCTATAGGAAGAACTAAACAGCATGGCTACCCACAAACATAGGAAGATGGTTTTATCATGGAGCTTTCTCAAATGTAGGCACTTCAAAGTGAGTCCAAGTTGGCATACCAGTAAAGATCCTCAATTATCATTTATTGTAACATACAGCTAAAAACCAGCCTGAAAGGGATGCTAATGTTTTTCAGCCATTGAGGGCCTAAGGCTGGCCTTGGATTCATTGTTTTTTCTTAAATTAGCCAGCAGGCCGATCAAAAAAAAAAACAGTTTCTTCCATCAACACAAGCAAAGTGGGTAGAGGAATCCTCCCCACTGAGACATTGTATTCTGATTCTGATTCTGACTCTCCAATGGCAGAATACACTGTAGCTGCTGATCAAGAAAACATTTCCAACATTTTTGTTCTTGACATTCAATTGAGCAGGCAGCTTTACTCATAGCTAGCTACCTGTCAGATTTTAGAAATTACTTTTAAATGTTTTCCACACCCTGTGGTCTAAGGGGAGGGGTTACAATTCACCACTTGTGTGAAATTAAAACTAAAATACAAAATACACACTGTAA